GTTAGAATAGAGGGGGGACGGAGGAAGTTGCATCTAGAGCTGGCTGAGTGGACCGGACGTGAGGTAGTTCTCTCTAGGGCAGCGGCTCCCACCTTTTCCAGCATCCGGACCCCTTTTCAAGCTATTCCAATGGTCCGGACCCCCAGGGAGCAGTGTGGGTTGAAGGACTTTGCACCCCTGCTGCCATCGGCCTCGCTCCTCACTGGCAGCCAGAGGCTGGCAAGCAGAGATCTGGCCAGCCCCAGGACCCGCCAGCGCTGATGGAGGGAAGGGGGGAGAGAAAATCTGGGACATTGGCTCTTAAAAACGGGCAAAATCAGAACCTTAAACAGGGAACCGTCTCTTTAAAAACGGGACGTCCGGTCACCCTCCTGCTAGTCCCTTGTGTGATGCTCTTGAAGGGGCATGAGCCGCTCAGATCAATTTGGGAACAGGCCAGTCTGGTCACACTGGTGCAGTGAGTGCACGTGTGCAAGGTGCATGCTGGGAATCAGACGGCGTCAGTGGCCGAAAGAGAAGTGAATCCAGGAAAGCGAGGAAAGGCAGGACAGCCTGTTTCTGCCCGACCCAACGGCTGGGTAACCGGGGGAGAGGCCAGGCGCCTGGCCGAGGGCTGAATGGAAAGGAGTGGGCAGTCTCCCAGTTCTCCCCGCGAGGCTGACCAGGCGCACAAGTTGCTCCTTTGGAATCTTTTATTAACGTATAGAAAATGCATTTAAAAAAAGGAACTATACATCGACTAAGAGCAGTCAGGACTAAAAATACTAGTTAACAATGGCCAACAAGCATGGAGCCCTTCCTCCCGGCTACGGTCCCACGGCGGGGTCGGGCGGGCTGTTGCGTCTCCCCGCCCCCGTCAGTTACGCAGGTTTAGTTCAGTTCGTCCGAGGGAGCTTCCTGCCTCCTTTTCCTTAAATAATAGACACGATTCCAGAGTAATGTATGTACAAAGAGGGTGGGGGCCGGGGCTTTTTTTTTCTTTTTGTTTTGGTCGCCATCCTCCTGAAGAAATAACAGTGGCCAAAGTCCGGAGGGTTTGGAGTTTGTCTCCCCAGCTGAGGAGAGACGAGGGCCTATTTCTGGGGATTCGCACTGAAAGATGCTGGCTCCTTGCACCTTCCTTGCCCCTTAAGGGTGCGACTGATTCTGGGGAGTTAAAGGGCGCTAAAACTCCATTGAGCGCCTTACCTAGTTCCTATCAGGCAGGACCAGGATGAACAGGGGGAAATGTTTATTTCTGTGCCGACCCTCGTCCTCTGCCTTATCTGTAGGAACCCCGAGATCCTGCTGGGCCGCCGGGGGAGTTTCCAGGTGGGAGCGCGTCCTGTGGCTTGCAGAGGATCGGTGCCTCTGAACAGGTTCCCTAGAGGGGCAGAAGGGGAGTGTCTGTGTGGGGCAGATCTGAAGGGATGAGCACTTTGTGGGCACTGCCCAGCGTGGGTGACTCCTCTGACTGTTGTACCGCGCTGCACTGAGGCCGGGGAGGTTGTTTGCCTGTATCAATATGTGTAGCCTTGTACGGCGTGTAGACACGCCCAGGAAAATGTATTAAGTAACCTGCCCCCATTCTCCCGTTGCCCTCCCATGCACCATTGGCACTCGTAGAGCATCGGCAGGAGGGGGGGGGAAGTCTGAACTGGTGACCTTTGTGAAATATGGACTTTACCTGACCTCCAGGAAGGACGAGAGCTCCTGCTGGGATTTAATAAGGGGCACTTCTCCTGTCTCCCCACAGACTCGGTGCATTGCTCATCCGAGCCTTTCTCTAGTGCAAGGGGCTATATCACTGGTTTCCTGGCCTTGTTGTTTTCTGGCTCGTATTTGTCCCGGCCCAGCTGTGCCACCACAGGGATAGGGCCCCAAGGACTGTCTCTCATGTGTACGTGCTTTGGGGGATAGCGTGGCTTCTGACCTGTACAGTATTCTCCACCCGCTGCCCTGTAGCTGTGGACCCCTTCAGAGGAGAAGACCTTTGTAGACATGAACTCCCCAGACAGGTGAGGTTGGATTTGTCACGGAAATAACTGGTGAGACAAAGCCAGGACAAAGCAGACTTGCCAGGCCACATCCTCACCTGATGTCACTCTGCTTGGCTCTGGGGAACTCATGTTTACAGTAGGGGGGGACCTGGCTCTTTGTGTGACCTTCCCAACGGTCTCAGGTCACATTGCTCACATAAACGAACTAACCCTCACCACCCCCTCAAACTCTATTTTTCCCCAATTTAGAGCAGAGAGAACTGAGTGCCCGGAGACAAGGGGAGGGTGGAGGATGAGGTGACTTGGGGTGTGTCTAGACTACCTAGTTTTGTCGACAAAAGTGGACTTTTGTCGACAAAACTATACCAGCGTCTACACTACCGCTGAGTTCTGTCGACATTGCTGAGTTCTGTCAACGTTATGTCGACAGAACTCAGCGGTAGTGTAGACGCTGGTATAGTTTTGTCGACAAAAGTCCACTTTTGTCGACAAAACTAGGTAGTCTAGACACACCCCAAGTCACCTCATCCTCCACCCTCCCCTTGTCTCCGGGCACTCAGTTCTCTCTGCTCTAAATTGGGGAAAAATAGAGTTTGAGGGGGTGGTGAGGGTTAGTTCGTTTATGTGAGCAATGTGACCTGAGACCGTTGGGATATTGCTGTCGTGAAGTAGAAGAGGAGGCAAAGGTTTCTCGAGGCTCCGTGGGCAGCAATGAACTCAGCCAAACTATCAGAGATCACCCTACGAATGTTGCTCTGGCTGTGCGAGAGAATGCCTCACTTTTTATGTGCTTTTAGCAAAGCCAGAAAAAGCCTCTCTCCCTTCGCTAGCTGCGGATTTTTTTTTCAGGCACATCTTAATCCCTTGCAGAATGAAGAACAGAGCAAGGGCGGGTGGACTGGCTGAGATGAAATAGGGATGGAGTTGAGCTTTCCCTTAATGCTGATCCAAACCCAAACAGAACCATATATAGCAAGCTGTCTCCTTGTATCCCTGCATGTTTAATATTCAGGCCCCTCTGCAACTGCAGATGGAATCAGAAGCAGAAAAGCTGAAATACTCCCCCAGGGCAAATTCTTGAATGGGGGGGTCCACCGATCTTGGTTGTGGCCTCTAGATGCACATAGGAATAACGCCATTTCTGGCTGGTTAGAAGCAGGCTGCCTGTTCTCAAGAGCTTCCCAGCTTGATTTTTGCTGGCTTGTGGTTTGGAGACACATTGGACCTTATCGTAGGTTAGGTTTGGAAGAGATCTCTGGAAGTTATCCGGTCCCGGACCCACCAATGTGTCCCAGACTACGTGCTCTGGGGAGCACAGAGAGCTAGCTAGGAGCACGGAGTCGGGGGCCCCCTCTCTTGCCTAGGGGCCCAGCGAATCTGTCGGCTCGCCTGTGTGGTCCAACCCCCTGCTTCAAAACACTCATAGTCAAACCTAATCCAGCCTCCAGCGCTGACGGAGGTTCATCCGCTGCCATAAAAGATACAGCCACTAAGCCCCAGAAAAGCCTCTTCTCTCTCCTCTCTAGCACTGGTGACCAGGGGCCAGGATTTCTTTTAACCCGTTTAAAGAGCTATCACACATGGGCACGTTGCCTCAGCCTGTACAAAGGTGCTTTGTTGTAAGCACAAGCAAAGGACAGGCAGGCCGTTAGCACCTCGCACTGAGGGTCTTCTACTCCCATTTGAGTCAATAGCCATAGGGCTTGCGTGGCCCTTTCCAGGGCAAACCCCAAATTCCCTTCACTGATGTGAAGAGTTTTCCTCCTGTGGGGGAACAGCTCCCCGTGGCTTCATGGAGGCCTCGGCCTTGCTGTAAGTTAAAGGCTTGCAATGAAAGCAGCGGAGTGGGGGGCATCGTGCCAAGAGAGAGGTCTGGTCTAGGACTCAACCGTCTCCTCAGGCCTAGAACTGGAGAAATAGAGAGACGATAAGCCATGGCTCCCTCAGCAACATCTGTATGGGATTTACTTTCCGGCCAGTGTGCTCCTTCTGGGATTGGTTTCTTATGAATTCTTGTTTGCTTCATGTGCGTTTTCAAGCCAAGATTAGTTCAGTTGCAAAGCCAAACTAATTGGGTAACAAAACCAAATTTGTGTTGGCCAGAGAAGCAGATTATAGAAAGCCGGCTCATCCAGCACGAAATGAGGCCGTGTTGAAACAGGTGGTCCGTCCCACCGCACCAGGACTGAGCACCGTTTGCGCCTGACCATTCGCGGACGGCTTGATCATCCAAAACATGAACTGAACCAAATTGGAGCCTGTTCCTGGGCAACAGGTTTTGCCAGATGTTGATTGGTTGCCTAGGGATACCCAGGATATCACCATGGCTACAGAATCCTAACCTTCTAGGCATCTCTCCTTGGAGGGGTCTAATAGTTTTGGAGGCTGAGGGTGCGGGAGGGCAACGGCAGTGGTCCTAGGGGCAGGTGGTCTCTGATTAGCTGGGAGGCCAGTGCTGGGAAGCTACACAGACAGACAGTGTGTGTGTGGTGGTTCAGAGGGTGAAAAAGAGGGAAGATGGAAGAAGCAAAGATTCCTCCCCAGCTTACTCTTGGCCCACATGTGGCTAAAATGAGGCATAACCCCTGCCAAAAGGCTCAGTGCTCCCCCTGCCATGCCTACCTCTTCCTGCCCGTTCCTTTTCACGCCCCGCGGTGTCGGTTGCTGAAACCTCGTAACATCACGAGTGAGTCTGCGGTAAGGACTTGCCACGGGATCTGCTAGGATCTGCCGACAGGCTTCATTTAAATGTACATGGCTGCCGCGCTGAGCCGACAAACAGCTGATCAGCGCGCTAATCTGGACCCTCCCCTGTCGACATGAAAGCCCTTTATCAACCTCCCCGGTAAACCTCATCCTTCGAGGCATAACAGGGAGGTTGATAAAGGGCTTTCAGGTTGGCGCAGGAGCATCCAGACTAGCGCGCTGAGCCGACAAACAGCTGATCAGCTGTTTGTCAGCTCAGCGTGGCAGCCATGTACATTTAAATGAAGCCACGATTATTTAAATCGCGGCTTCATTTCCCTTTGCCGATCAGCCTAATCTACATGGCTCCGTCAATGGAGCCATGTAGTTTAGACATACCCTGGGAGACAAGAAAGCCCAGCCGAGCCAAGCGACGTGTCCAACATGGAGTCCCCGGCCTCAGCTGGGGGTGGAAGCCAGGACGTTCTCAGGAGCCGCCCTGAGTTCCAACCATTAAACTCCCCAGCTTTTTCGTGTCATAAAGTCACCGCTTGTCTGGGGGCTGCCAACGGGCGGGGGCAGCTTTCGTACAAATCGTTGCTAGGCCTTGCCCTATGCTTCTGTCAGCCCGAACTGCTGCTTCTCGCTGGCCTTTGGGGTTCCAAAGTGACCCACGCCGCTGAGAACAGTGCAAATCTCACTGCATCCTCTGAGAATCTCGTAGCCCCCTCTAGTTCTTCTTTGAGGCCTTCTTGCTCTCACTACATCTCATCTAGTTCCTGGGGAGTTACTCAGCGCCTCGTCCAACGCTCGCCAAAACCAACAGGAGACTCCCTGCCAGCTTGGGCCATGGATCAAGGCCTACCTCCAGCGCATGTGTAGGACTAACCCTGCCTGAGCACTGCCCCCTCAATGAGCAGGGAAACTGCTGGGGTCAGGGCAGTGTAGGGTTGCCAGATATTCTCACAAAGAATACCGAACATGGTGGAAAAAAATTGGTTGAGCAAAAAAAAAAAAAAAAAAAATCAGCTTGTTGAGGGAAAAAACGAAAAACTGCCCAAACCAAAGAGGGTCACTGTGCCTTTATCCCCACCAGACGCTCCAGGGGAGCAATGTCCCAAGTGGCCTTCCATCCAAGAAAAACGGAAAATACTGGACATTTTATATGTCCAGTATTTTCTGTTTTTTTTCTTCCAGACGGAGGTCATAGACCGGACACCTGGCAACCCTACGGCAGTGCCTTTGTAATGCTAGGCCTTACCAGTGCCATGTCACTGGAAGAGGCTGCTGGGTGTTTGAAGGCTAAGGCAGCTGCAGCCTCATTCTGCCAGATCAGGCTAGTCACACGTGGGCGCTTTCCTAGTGACCTTACAGCCGGGCGTTGAGGGTTGTACTTAACCCTACACCCCAGTTAGTTACGTTTTCGTGTCCCAGTGCATGGCCCGAGGCACGCGAGTGTGGGGTGGAGCCTGTCTTTGCTCCTCAGCCTCCTGTCTCTCCCCTGAACGCAGGCTGGTGGGAGCCAGTCACACTCCTCCAACCTGTTTAAAGAGACTCTGCCCTGAATTCTCCGTTCCACTCAGGCCCTTTACATGCTCTCTGGAAGTGGGCATCCGTGCAAAGCAGCGTGGTGGGAATGAGAGGCCCGCTCTCGACAGCGATGTCCCCGGTACCTTTGCTGCTGCGGTACGGTGAACCTGAGCCGAACAGCTGTGTGTGAGTGCATGGGATGCAGCCGGGGAAAGCACCTGGCCTGTTCTCATTGGCCAGACTGATGAAAGTGCAGAACATAAGCAGCATCAGCGTGAAGGAATAAATGCAGTGTTTGAAAGTCACTTTTAATAATGAAAGGTGTTGTTAGTAACAACAGGTAGGGAGGGGCTAGAGCCTTCACATCCCAGGGTTTTGTCAGGGCAGCGTCCCTTCATGGGGAGGGGAAACGTAACGATTGGAATTTGTACGGGACCTTTCCGCCAAGCACCTGAAAGTGCTCGACAAACCAGCGAATTGAGCCTCGCGATAGCCCTGTGGGGGAGGGGAGAGTGCAATTCCCAGCTGAGTGCTGGTGGGACCAGCTCCCAGAGAGCTGGCAACTCCCCAGGATCCCAGAAGAGGCTGGCGGGAAGGGAATCTCCACTGAGGTCTTTTACCTTCAGCATCAAACCATCCTTCCTCCGTAACACCAGGGAACACGGGCAGGAGGCCCTGATGTCACGGCACCCGGCTGTGATTTACTCTGCAAGCTTCAGAATAAACTACAGCCTCTTGCCAGTTCTTCTGCTCGCTGCTCTTCCTCCAATACTCTTTGGCTTAGGACCAATGACAATGCTCAGATGCAAATATAACCGTGAAAGGGGGGCCTCTGAGAATTTCCTTCAGAATGATGTGGCAGATTCCTTGGAAGCTATTTTCTGTGATTCCTCCCCTCCTCTCCCGCTGAGCTAGGCTTTATAAGCAAAAACCCACAGAAGGGCTTATGATGAAGTCAACACGCAAAGAAGACAGGCCACCCTAGTACCCCAGAAAGCCCTAGAGCGACTCTCACCTACAGACAGATGCTGTACTCCATCGGTTCTCTTACTGCTCTACACAGGAGGTGACCTGGGGCATCTTAGCAGCAGGGTGAGGGTGGGGTTCCTAAGGGATCACTCCAAAGGAGAGGAGAGATGGATGCAAAGCAGACCAGTATCTCATGCTCCACGTGAGACCTGGGACTTGCACCAACCCGGTACACAAATCCAAGCACGTTCTTCACTTCTCCCCATGGTGCGCGGGCGTGTACTGAGCTCACAGGGATAAGGAACACTGGGTGTTCGTGGTCAGAGGGAGGGGGGCAGCTCCCGCATCTTGGCTAACGGAGGAACCGGATATTAGGGGGAGGGCAGAAGGTTATTGTGGCAGAGGGAGGAGGTGGGGCTCAGTCCCTGGGAGGGGCATTAGAGGAGTTGCCTCGGAGTATGATCAAATGGCAGGGCACTGGGTGCGGTCCCTCTTCTCCAGGTGCGGCTGGCACTCCTTGTCACCTCAGATGCAGGCCCTCGTCCGAAGCTCAGCCGAAAAGCGAGCCTGCCCCTCCATGTGGCTGGCCCTGATTTTCCATCGATTTCCCCGGCTGACAGGACCTGCCATGCAAAGGAGGCCCTGCTGGCCAGGGAGCACCTTCCACAAAAACATGTCCCGTGGGGTTTGCCTGGGATTTATAAGTCTTTAAAAAAATACGAAAAATCCATCTCCCTCTTTTCACGTTGTGGGCAGGGGGAGTGGGCCCGGGGCATGTCACAGGGGAGGCGTGGATGTCCTTCCCTTTCCAAACCCTCCCACCCACTCAGTCCCCCCTTCCAGGACTCCTATGGACCAGGTTGCTAGCTCAGAGTAGTAGTATCTTTTTTTCCCCTTTTCAGATTATAAAATACAAACGAAGGACAGCAGAGGTCGGGCGGCTGGGGGAGGGAGGGGCAGGATTCCGCCAGCTCACAGCTGTAGGGACCGTCGTTTCCTTCCCGAGGCGTTTCGGTGGTTGTAAGGTCGCATCTTCATTTCCACAAAGGGTATGGAGAATTCGTGGCCTTTCCAGTGGAACCAATTGATCCCCTGAAGGCAGGAAGGAAAACAAAGCAAGGGGCAAAAAAAAGAAAAACACAACAGGTGGGGGTGGGGTTACAAATGGGCTAACTCGTGACTTTTCCTGCATCTCCTACTCAAGCCAAGAGACGTGGATTAAATTTTCCTCTTGAAACCAGATGGAATCTGCCCAGTATCATGCAACTGAAGGGCCAGGAGAAGACCCTTTGGGGCTCTTGGTAGGAGAGGCGCCGTCTCTCTCGGGGATCGGGGCTTACCTGGCTGTGCCGGGACTCGCCGTACTTGCCATTGAGGTTGGTCCGGTGGCAGTTCTTGTACCACCAGGCCCCTTTGTACGACATGGCGCAGTTTGTCACAGCGACGTCGTTGTCCCTGTCCTTGGTGGAGAAGGGCCGTCCCTGGTGGTAGGTGAGTGAATCCCCTGTAGGAGGAGAGATGTTCTGAGGTCAGGCTCGGGTTGTGCCCGCGGTGTGTAAGCACGACTCCATACCAGGCTAGACACGCTACAACGAGCAAATGATAACGACGCGACAACATTGTTCATTCTGCTCATGGATAGCTCTGCAGTTCAGGGACTTGAAGATTGGCAGATTACTAAAGGAATAAGATTAGTTTGAGTTCCTCACCCCCTGACCTCATGGATCCTCGACCTTTCTACTGACACTGGGGTAGAGGGGCCCGTTCAAAACCTAGATCCCTGGATCTGAACCTCTTGAGCTTTGGTGATGGTCAAAACCTGCTGCCAGGTCCGGTTCTGAATTTCATGGCTTTAGAAGAGGCTAAAGCAAATTACTGGATCCAAACATTACAGACCTGAAAATCTAGATATAGGTGTGTGGTGAGGACCCCTCGCTGCTCTGATAAAGGCTTTCTGTTGGCCAAAGATATTTTCTCCCTCCAGCCACTGGTCCTTCTCAAACCATGGCCTGACTGGCTCAAAACATAAATATGGTAATTAGAGAGAATCCTGAGATGCAAAATTTGGGGCTGTTCAAATACAGGGAGGTGGTTTGGCTCCTTGTAGGCAGCGGTTGGCTGCAAAGTGTGCATCCTGCTGTGAACTTTCTTACTGTTGGCAGATTTTTCCAATTTAGGGTTTTGGGGTTGGGCCTATCTTCTGCTTCATTTTTGTCCTGCGTCTCTATTTCCAAAATAGCCCTAAATACACAATGGGCAGTAAGGAGCGAATTAAGTCTTTGAAATGCCCCAAGAGAATACCAAAGAGACCAGAAAATACTAATTACGCACAGTCCTGAAATAAGAACGCGGAGATGTGCCTTAGATGTGTGGGAAAACCCAAGGGAAATTAATTGTCGGGGGAACCTTTACTCTGCTTTCTAGGGGCAAAATGAGGGTTCCCCTCTGTGCCGTTATTAACTCTGCAGGTAAGGGTTTGAAGCACAGAGGGATTTACTGCATTATAATTCAGCCAGTTTGGGGACAGGAGAGGGAGTATCTGACTATGGCCAGGATCCTCAAAGGCACTGAAGTGCAACTCCCCTTGGTTTGAGTGGGAATTAGGTGCCTCAGTACCTTTTGAGTCAGTGTCAAACTGAACAGTTCATCTGATGCACTGTCTTTCCGCTCTTAGAACTAGATGTCTTCTAGGCATGAACAATCCTGCATCTTGCCTGTGGTGGAGGGTTTCTTGCTAGCCCCAGGCAGAAAGAATGGCTGTGTTGTGCTTGGAGTGTGGGTGTTAAATGGTTCATTAGATGCTTTTACCCAAGCTAGCCTAGCTGTATCCTGACCCTCCCTATCTTAAACCGGTAATCCAAATGTGACCTTCTGGAAGTAGGTTGCTAACCACTAGACCTGGCTGCCTAAGTCTGTCCCTGACACGTTGTGGCTAATCTTGTTGTTCAGTGGAATGTCTAGTCCCCCCCCCCCCCCCGAAGGTATCTCGATGCTAGAACATTGTCCAGCCAACACTGTGGTGGGACAAACTTAGAGGTTCTGTCTCATGCTAGAACAGCGGCTGTGTTGATATTCTAGCAAAAGCAGCAAACCTGTGTCCCGTACGGCACAGTGCTAGATGGATGACGACAGCTTTTCAGTTCATGTGGAAGTGCACCGTTAGCAGGCTGCTCTGCTGCTGGTGTGGAAAAGGGCTCTAACTCCCGTTACCGATCCGATGAGCTGACCAGCAATGGGTGTGGGCTAGTGCTGCTACTCCCCAGTGGAAAATTCCATGAGCTGATTAGACATGTGCCTCCCGGTGATCACCATACACATTTATCTGATGATCCACAAGGAAGCAGAGACAACTAAAGGCCTCCAGTTGGATAGGGCAGTGACCTCCGGGAAGGGAATTATCCTTGGGGTGCTGGGATTTCCTCACTCTGCTCAAGACCCACCAATCCAGCAAGCTCCCTGCTGCCGTTAGCAGCTTGTAACTGAGAGTGTGTACCGGAGGTGCCGTTGTAGTCTCCTATCCTGAGCTTGTACAGACTCCTGGCGTCACCGAGGGAGAACTTGTCATAATAGGCGTAAGTCGCCTCTTGGCCGTCTCGCATGTCTATTCGTAGCTCGTAGCGTCCCTGCGAGGTGATCTTGTGAATGTTCTCCAGCCCTGCAGGGAGAAACCAAGGGGGGAGGTGAGAGCTGGCAAATCTGGGAGCAAAATGCCAGGAGGTTCAGGGTTCAGTGAAAATGCCCAGCAAGCAAATGCAGAGGAGCAATCCCAGAAATCACCAGTGCTTTCAGAAAAGCCACAACGGTCTCAGTTCATAGCTCAGCCCTTCATGACTGAATCTGGATGCTACACTGATGTATTGGAACAGGTGTATTGGTGCTGGAATCCAGCTGTTGAAATCTGGTCTGGCCCCGATTTCTAGCATCACTCGCCGGAGGAGGGTGTGAAGGCTAGGTCTATAACAGGGTTTAAAAGAGAACTAAATAAATTTGTGGAGGTTAGATCCATTAATGGCTATTAGCCAGGATGGGTAAGGAATGGTGTCCCCAGCCTCTGCTTGTCAGAGGGTGGAGATGGATGGCAGGAGAGAGATCGCTTGATCATTACCTGTTCAGGTCACTCCCTCTGGGGCATCTGGCATTAGCCACTGTCGGCAGACAGGACGCTGGGCTGGATGGACCTTTGGTCTGACCCAGTGTGGCCGCTCTTATGTTCTTATGTAAGTCTAGATTTGGGGAACGGCTCATTGCAGTAGGAGTCATTTGTAAAAATCAGAATCTGGCTTCTGATGCCAAACACCTTAAATGCGGAGGGTGTTTGCAAGTTGATCCCACCTCCAATGTGCACATGCACTAGTCCTGTCCCTGCGTGACAGCAGTGCTATCCTCACTAGCCCTTTTTAAGCATTTCCTCGGGTGACTATTCTCCCTCATTTAGGAAAGTCGGCTTAAAATATGCAATTCCATCTACATAAATAACGTTGCCGGAGCCAACATCCCTTACACTGACCTTGGCACCATCTCCACAGTTGGAGGTGGATGGGATCAAACTCTCCTGTCGATTTCCCTTACTCCTCACAAATCGAGGAGTACCGGCACTGCCCAGGGGCACCCTCAGCATTTGATTTAGTGGGTCCTTAGACCTGCTAAATCGAATGCCAGAAGATTGATCGCTGCTACAGAAAGTATAGACATGGCCTTAGTTTCCACGGTTCTAGGCCTGTACCTCTTCTGAGAAGAAATTGCCAATCCTGTTACATTGCAAAGTGTATTTCTATTGCAGACAAAACCTTCCAGGGAACTGGACAAAATACCTAAGCTCCATTCCTTTTGTGACCTAAGGAGATTTGAAACCAGGTCACTACAGGTTAAAGGCCAGTGGAAAAGCCGGTTGTGCTACCTAACAAATCAGGCGCTGCTGCACCTTTGTGATTTCCTTTTATGTTTCCACCACAGGACACCTCACTAATGATATGAGCGCAGGCAGAATAAAGGAAGGGACACCATGGGGAAAAAAGGCAGCTCAATAGGGGAGAGATGGACAGATAACCTCTCTAATGATAGGCAGACACAGAGAGATGGAAATTAAGCTTGCTAAGATAAGTCTACAGTTCAAAGATACAAAGCATCTCATGATCAGAGCCAGGCTGCCAGTGTCTGTGACAAAGAGGTGAGGGCATTACCCAGCCAAAACTCATCCTCTAGGTTTCCAAAGCCCACGCGGTAATCCATCCACTTTCGAAAGAAATCAGTCAGCCCGTTCTGCCGTCTCTGGAACACCTACAAAGGGAGAAGCAATGAAAGCCACGTGGGAGAATTTTTGCTTTATGCAGAGATGACAGATCATAGCTCAATGGGCTTTGTTATATGTGAAATTAAAAGATGGTGACTTGTCTTTCTATGCCACCCTTCAAGTAAAGAGCTTGACAGGTTAATGTAATAATTCTCACTACAGACCTGGAAGTTAGATATAGAATCGTAGAACACTAGGACTGGAAGGGACCTTGGCAACAGCCAATTTACAGATGGGATAAACTAAAGTTACGTGATGCCCACTGCAAATCAGCCGCAGAGCAGGGAGCAGAATCCAGAAATCCTGTTTTCAAGTCCCCTGCTCTCACCAATGGACAATACTGTCCTTTCTCCAGCATGTGATTTTGTTCTTAACCAGTTATTTCCGCATGAAATCAGGTGTGAGGCTTTGAAGTAGAATGAAAAAGTAGGTAAAAACGTTGGTGAAAAATCCATACCAGCAGTGTTAGGAAATTATCCTTTGGTTTAGAGGGCCCTTTTGTGACCGCATGTCTGTGTATGTAATAATGTGTGAAAGAGAAAGTGTGCCAACCCAGTCCGGTTGGAACTGCAAAGTATTCTCTGGTTCTGCTGCCAGTCCACCCGAAAAACGAGGCTGTGTTTATGTAATTCAGCTAAGTGGCATTTGCCTCTAAAAGCACTGTGCAAAGCCAGTCCAGCTGATGGCTGACACCACCATATGGGGAGCCCCGTGAGTGCAAAGCATTTACTTTGAAAGCTGGTATCCATTTAATTTCACGTGTCAGACAATATATCTGGGTCCACTTGACTTCGTTTGCAAACTGAGCAGCACCAGGCTGGGTTTGTACTTGGCTGGGAGACTTGAAGGAGGAACCCCATTGCTACGGGCAGTGAGGGCTGGGGCTATCTCGGGGTCCATGGTCCCAGTGCCCTAGCAGAGAGCTGTGCTGCTGGAGGAGGGAAGGCCCTATGGCATATTTTGGACTTGTTTATTTTTAGCCCTGTCCTTGCACAGGGCAGCAGCGCCTGGCCCTCGGACGCATTGGGCACTGAGGAGGAGTGGGCCTGCTGCTGTGCCTTGCATTGCTGATGTGCACCCCTGCCTTCTTGGGGGGCGGCTTGTGCCCCAGTGGCTGCTAGCTGGGAGCTGTCCCTGCAATCACAAGATCCCAGGGACTTTGATTGTAGTCAGAACGCGAGGAACAGGAAGGATTCTTGCACCTTTGCTCCCCTTGGCTCTAGGATGTGAATGGGTAACCGGTACCCGGGAGCAGACCCCTGCCTGCGGCCTGCCACGGGCAGAGGGCTCTCCAGCCCCACCATGGTCCCGTGCGGGGCTGCTGGCTCCCAGCCCACACGAGTCCAGAAGCAGCTGGGCTGGAGAAGCCCCTGTCTGTGGTGGGAGGATGGCACCAGCCTCCCTGACTACCCCGCTGTAATTGGCTAGCCGGTTAACCAATGAAATGGGATTTTACATCCCTACTTTGCATGACCACTTAAAGGCCAGCTGCAATCTAGCCCTGAGACAGTAGTGATGCTAGTCCTGGCACCCACCCAAATGGCATTCTGCCTAGCTGGTTTTGTCCCTGCACTTTGATTAGGGTAATCGTTCCTTCTTCTTGCTAACTGTTGCCGGGTGGTGCCGAACAGCTGCTGTGTTCCACCCCAGAGGTGGCCGCTGGCCTTTGTGAATGATGTAGCCCCTAAGGATTGTGGAAGGATCCTCTGGAACAGAAGGCTGGTGCTTGGAAATGAAAAACCATTAGCAGAGCTATGCAAATAACCCATGTTCCCATTTGCTGTCCAAGCTGCAAACAATAGGCAAAAATTGTTTTTGTTTTTTTACCCTTTCAAAATGATTTTCATTGGAATTGTATTAAGTTTCGATAAATACAATTTGAATTACAAAATCTAAACCTTTTGAATTTGGGCAGGGGAGGACTTCCCCCCCCCCTCCCCCAATGAGAACATTTTGCCAATTCCGACAAAAATTCACATCACGTTTTCATGCATCTGAACCTGCAGTTTTCAATGGGGGGAGGGGAGGAGGTTTTTTTGTCCTAAAAATCTGCCCCAGCTGTCATTGTTCTGATAGATTCTACATGGAGGCTTACAATCCATCCTCCCCCATCCGTGGTCATGTCGCAGTACACCTGCACTCGCTGGGTGAGGTCCCCGTTGATGGAGACGGTGTAGATTCCACTCATTGTGTCGCCATTCATCAAATGCTGGGCACAGTCCTGAGGGTTAGCGAACACACGGCCTCCTGTGAAATTAGAGAGGCAAAGCTTTGAAGCGGGCACAGCATCTCCTGACGCACAACATGAATCAGGCTGATAGGTCAGGGTAGCTCTGTCGCTAGCTCTTGGCTTACTTCCCCGTGTCGAGCCGCATCGTGCCGTAAGCTTGTAAACCCTCTACCACAAGGCATAGTGGCTTGACACTGAGTAACTCTACTGGGTACAATGAATGAGAGCGTTGTCTCTTGTGATATTTATTTAAATTAACTGTGCCTGATCTACACAGAGTTTGGGAAATATTCATGTTCTTGCCTTCTGGACTCTAGTTCTACAAGACTGACTTCAGTAGAGTTACTACATCCACATAAGTGTCAGACAATCTGGTTCATGAAGCTCCCGCCTTCATTAGAAAACTCGGCGGGGTGTACCCATGGGCCAAGCAGATAGAGTATGGAGCACAACTGGTCCTTGGCTGTGCAGACTGGAAAGTCATGGTCAGCGCTGTGGTAGGTAGTAAGGTTCTTCATGGTCATGTTCTAGCTTGATGCAATTTTCTAATGAAGACATGCTCACGGTGAGTGGCCTGAGGTAATGGTTAACCTGTCCTATATGATCTCACCAGGTCTGCAGTATCAGGAACCTGCACCTGAGTCTGACTCACCAAAGTTGGACATGAGCTTAGCCGTAGCATAGAGCTGTACTGATTTACATTTTTGTATCTAAGGCCAGGTCTACACTAAAGGGGAAGGGTGAATCATAGAATCATAGAATAATAGGACTGGAAGGGACCTCGAGAGGTCATCGAGTCCAGCCCCCCGCCCTCAAGGCAGGATCAAGCTCCGTCTACACCATCCCTGACAGATGTCTATCTAACCTGTTCTTAAATATCTCCAGAGAGGGAGATTCCACCACCTCCCTTGGCAATTTATTCCAATATTTGACCACCCTGACAGTTAGGAATTTTTTCCTAATGTCCAATCTAAACCTCCCCTGCTGCACTTTAAGCCCATTACTCCTTGTCCTGTCCGCAGAAACCAAGAGGAACAAATTTTCGCCTTCCTCCTTGTGACACCCTTTTAGATATTTGAAAACCGCTATCATGTCCCCCCTTAATCTTCTTTTTTCCAAACTAAACAAGCCCAGTTCATGAAGCCTGGCTTCATAGGTCATGTTCTCTAGACCTTTAATCATTCTTGTCGCTCTTCTCTGTACCCTTTCCAATTTCTCCACATCTTTCTTGAAATGTGGCGCCCAGAACTGGACACAGTACTCCAGCTGAGGCCTAACTAGTGCAGAATAGAGCGGCAGAATGACTTCACAAGTTTTGCTTACAACACACCTGTTGATACAACCTAGAATCATATTTGCTTTTTTTGCAACAGCATCACACTGTTGACTCATATTCAACTTGTGGTCCACTATGACCCCTAGATCCCTTTCCGCCATGCTCCTTCCTAGACAGTCGCTTCCCATCTTGTATGTATGGAACTGATTGTTCCTTCCTAAGTGGAGCACTTTGCATTTCTCTTTATTAAACCTCATCCTGTTTACCTCTGACCATTTCTCTAACTTGCTAAGGTCATTTTGAATTATGTCCCTATCCTCCAAAGAAGTCGCAACCCCACCCAGTTTGGTATCATCTGCAAACTTAATTATGTCACTGGAGTTGATGTACCTTGATTCAAGTTTCCCCACTGAACCCACAGCAGAAAGCTGTCAGGAGCAAATGCTCCCATTGGTTTCCCTTACTCCTCACAGGAGCAGGAGTACCAGCTGCCCTCTGAGTTTGATTTAGTGGCTCTTAACTAGACCTGCTAAATCAAACTCTGGAAGATCAATTGCAGCAGCGTTGATCTTCTGCTGAGTGAACATTTGGTCTCAGAGGAGGAATTTGCCCTGTTCGGTGGAACTATTTGTGAGCTAATGTAACTGTAATAAGTATAAGGCCCAGTGGCCAGAGTTGTGATCACCCTCAATGAAAAATATTAATTATAATGAATCATACTTCATACTCAAGGTCAGATTCAGTTTTCATTCAAGCTAGATGCAAATAATGAATAACTCCCCTAAAATCAGTGGACTTCTACTGGTTTACATCGCTGTGTATGTGAGGAGGATCTGGACTACAGCACAAATGGGCACAAACTAGAGTGAAAATATTTGCCTTCAGTTTCAACGATGGCTTATATGACAGTGTCAGTTACATAGGAAATGGGTCTAAGCTTCTTCCTCTGGGGGTGCAACGCCTGTGTAAATTTAACATCGGAGAAGGTGGAATTAAAAAACGGGAAGATGCTACAAACCCTGATTTTGTTGTTTTTCTATTCAGTCTCCGCCCCTTTTCTTGGTGCGTGTATAGTTGTGACGTAGTGGGGGTACTTGCTGGGCTGTGGTGACCTCTGCTGTGTGGAGCAAGACCCAGCAGGGAAAACCTCATTATGCAAAGGTGACTCAAAAACCTGTCTGACCTGCGGCCCCCCATGGGGAGAAACAAAGGGAGGTGGAATGCTGCCCTGGCTGTGGGCAGGGCTGGAAGAGGGGGAGTTAGTTCCTGTCTGGAAAGCAGGGGAGAAGGAGCTGGGGAGGGGGGCTGGGACTCCCCTATCTCAAGGGGGGCACTGAGGCCTCTTAGCCCCAGTTCCTATAACCAGATTACATCTGTGCTGTGCTGTATCCTGGAGGAGCAATAAACCACCCTCAATTCCACTGGCTGGTGGAGTCTGTTTGTGCCATTTCGGGGTGCAGGAGACGGGGGACCCCCAACGCGCCGTCACAATAGTCAAGTGATTTCATTTTGGCCCAAGAGCAAAGAACCCCTATTTTATAGTCTCTGTGCTTTTTAACACAAGATCTGGTGGGAGACTTGTCTTTTATAGCACTCAACACACAATGATATCTGCTTCAAAGGCAAATACTTTGGCATCCCTAGTGCTTTGTGAAGGCAACTTTTCTTAATTTATTGTCAGATCTTTAAAATCAAAGCTGACCTGGAAAGAAATTTCAAACGACAAATTATAATGTATTGATTGTTTTTTGTACCATTTGCATACAATTCCACCAAATTGTATACACTTCCTCTATGTACAAAGATGAAAGACAATGGATCAGATACCTATTAATATGCTAGCAGAAATGAAAGAGCCCTGTTATGTGTGTTGTGAGCACAAAGAAGCAAAACGTCTTGAATAAAGGTGGTTTTTTTTTTAAACAAACCAACAAAAACAACCTATTGTTCTCCTAGAAAGTGTCTGGCTATATGGCTAGAATAAATGGAATGCGGTGCCCTGGTTCTTAGACAAGGGAATGGTGGAGCGACCGCAGTCTATAGATTTCATTGTTCATCCCCAGATGGTTCTGTTTCATAGATGTATTAGAAAAGAAACAGGTATATTGTGCTTGTTACTCGCTTCTGTTTTCACTTAAACCTGCTTCTCTCAGGGGAGAAGCCATCGACAATACATTTTCTGACTCTGTATAGGGTGAGATCCTCAACTGCTGTAAACCTCAGCGTAATCTCCCTTGTCAATGGAGCCAGGCCGATTTACACCGCCTGGGGATCCGGTCCTGTCTGTTTTCATCCTGAACTCGAGTTCATCCCCAGCAAATATGTCTATTTTTCCATCCCCGATTGCATATACTACAGTCCTTTGTGCCCAATGGAGTGGAGGCAGGAGTAGCACATGGGGCCCTGATGTATAGATACACCAGAAAAGAAGGGTTTTTTGTTGTTGCTAGCTTCTGTTATCACATAAAAGCAGATTACAAGGCCTTTCCGTGTGCTTCAACTGGTGTGTATGTCTGCGGTGGATTTACAGGGAGCCCTTCTCATCTAAGGATGAATACTGAGGCAGAGATTTCAGCACTGTGGAATGGACAGCATCTCTGGGCTTTTTTGTCATCTCTTTTGAAGAGCCGAGGCACAGAGGTAATTGGATTCTGCTTGGCACAATGTACCTAGTGCCTATTGAGCACCGGTCTCTGCATTAGCTCTCCCACACTGGATGTTCTACGCAGCCCACATTCTAAACGTGTTTACAACATGTAGGGTTTCCATGCATACAGCAGCACTCGGACAATAGGGTCGTGGGGACTGTGAGTCTCAATCAGCTTAATGCCCCATTCATTCCACGGGGGCAGAATATTTAAGAAATAGGACTGATCTACAGAACCAGCAAGGAGGGATATCGGGCACTTAGAACATCGTAAGGGCTTTGAACAGGTTGTACAGCATGGTAACTCGATTGAAATTGGCAGAGTCGTTCCTGATAGTGATCAGGATCATGTCCGCAGACATGGAAAAGCCCCATTAGGTCATATAGTCCATCCCCTGCCCATCAAAAAAGTATCCCCTGCCCTGGATTTTCTCCTTCTTTGAACCAGACACAAGAGTAAGATAGAAGGACCAGTTTGAAATGGGTAATCTTTGTATTAGGCCAGGTCTATAATGGGGGAGAAATTCAGTTTAAGATATGCAACAACAGCTATGAGAAGAGCATAGCAGGAGTCAACGTACCTTAAATTGACTTTCTGGGATGCCCTCTGGGTGGGAGGTCGATGGGAGAAACTCTTCCATCAACTTCCCTTATTCCTTGTGACTCCAGGGAATACCAGTGTCAGTGGCAGCAACCTCAGCATTTGATTTAGCGGGTCCTTCCTAGACCTGCTAAATCAAACCCCAGAAGATCAATCTCCAGAGCATGGATCTTCCAGTAAGTATAAACAAGGACGTAGACATGGGGCCTGGATTCATATCTGGATCTGGGTCCCATCTTTGCTCTATACCCTATGCAGGGAGAAGGGAGGGTAATTCCTGTGGGAATGAACATTGAGCTAGCATTTAAGTCGTGGCTCTCTGTATTTGGGTGAGTTGAGGGGTGGGGAGCCAAGCCCCTGGAACATGCGCGGGGGTGGCGTTGTCTTTCTGAGCACTGAGAGGTGATAGACAATCTCCTAGAGAGACTCAGGAGGCTGTGACTGGTGCAGCATGCCACTGCTGGTCAGAGGAGGCGAGGCGATAAACTCCTGACCTGTGATGAAGCTGGTGGCAGTGAATCCACTCCTCATCGCATCCTGGGCTGCCTGCAAGCGTACAGTGTATTCTGTGGTCTCTGAAAGCCCCTCTAGGCGGATCCAGGTATCCTCGGCATCTACGATCAGCTCCTACAGATGGGTCACAAGAGGAGATGGGAGCCAAGAGCAACAGACTAGACAAGTTACAGGGAACCGAGACAGCAAGTAAAGCAGGAGCAGAAGCCAGAAATGTCAATTGTGCTGCTGTCAGAGTGGGGACTTTAAAGTCATTTGCACCCGGAAAACTTCTAGCACCCCTGGTAGCTAGCTAAGTATTATCCCCCCTTTCCTCCAGGAGCAAGCAGGGAATGTGGTGTGCCTAAAACAGTGTGTCAGAGCAAAACTGAGCCTCCACGTGACCTGAGTCCTACTCCTGGGTTTAGCTGCTCAGCCATGTGTCCTCTTTGAACAGCAGCCAGGGGGTGGTTTAGGCTGACTAGACAGAGCACGTCTTTCAGATCAGGGTCTGACAGGCAGATGCTATTCATGGACCCTACGTACAGGGAGCAGGTTACCACCTCATTGCAAGGTGACTGAGGTGCTTCGTGGAAAAAGTGAGAATATTCAAAAAACTTTTGGATCCCTGATTCGTTTGTGTGAAATTCAGCCCTTGGCAGAGATGTAGGTACCACTTACCCTATCGGGGCGGTGGTGATGGGGCTAAGTGGTACACAGGCCATTTCCTGTTCCTCTGCTCAGGGGTGTATTTCGCTCTTCCCTGTAGATTGAATAACCACAACCAATGGTCTGTTTCCTGTACCTGCCAGGACCGGAATCAGGAGGATGTCTTTTCCTTGCACCAGGGCATCTCTGATGCTCAAAGCAGTGTAAAGAGTGGAGCTCCTTACCCCTTTTGTTAACCAACTCCTTGTCATAGAATCATAGAGCTGGAAGAGACCTCAGAAGGTCAAGTCCAGCCCCCTCCTCTAGGCAGGACCAATCCCAATTAAATCAACCCGGCCAGGGCTTTGTCAAGCCGAGACTTAAACACCTCTATGGAAGGAGACTCCACTACTTCCCTAGGTAACCCATTCCAGTGCTTCACCACCCTCCTAGTGAAATAGTTTTTCCTGATATCCAACCTGGGCCTCTCCCACCGTGTTCTCTGTT